CAGGCGCGCGTCGAGCCTGGCCGCGGTCCCTGCGAGCATCGCGTGGAGGGCGTGGAGCGCGGTGGGGGAGGGGGTCCCCGCCACGGTTTCCCGCCCCACCGCCTTCGCGAGCTCGTGAAGGTGGGCGAGACGTTCTTGATGGCTAGATAACGTCCGCTGCCCTTCCTCGAGGACAAGGACGCGATTACGGAGCTCCGCAAGCAGTCGTTGCTTCGCATCGTTTCCCACGCGATGCTGCCGTTTGAGCATTTCGAGCATTTGCGCGCGCTCGTGAATGGAGCGCGCAACATCGCGTAGCGAGAGGATTACCTTTGAGAGCTCTGCGTGTTTCGCCTCGTGCCGTTCCAACAGCTTTTTGTTATTTAATTGGAGCTCAGCTAATGCCTCCGCAAGCTTCTGTCGTTCCGCTGCTTTCTCGGCTTCTTTTGCCTTGAGTGGGCCCATAACTTCCCCGTTGAGTAAAACTCCCTTATCGAGAGAATCTCTCTGATTGCGTACCAGTTCTAATCCCTGAATTAGTTGCCGATGAGTTTGAACCGCATGAACGAGAGAGCTTTGTGCGGTATCCAGTTCACGTAGCAAGTTTGCATGCTCCTCCTTGGCATCACGCAAAGAGAGTTCTTTTACCGTGATTTCGTGATGCAATCGCTCGAGTTTAGTCCACACCGAAGTTGACAATTCCTTAACGGCTGCTTGTAGAGCCTCCCCTTGCTTTCGCTTAGCAAGATAATTCAAAGTTGCCGCCTTGGTCTCCTCTTCAAGTAGTTTAGATTCATTCATTTTATCCAACAATAGTTGTTGTTGATAGTTTATGGCGGCATTTTGCTCCTTCACGAGAAGTTCCAGACGCTCATAAGTGTCTTTAAAAGATTTCGCAGCATGCTGTGCACCTTCACATTCGTTTCGAATCGTCTTAAGCTCCGCGGTATTCGTTTCTAGATTCTCACGCTTTACCGCAAGTTCTTTTTCGAGTGCATCCCGCTGCTTTTGGACGAGCTGCAGATTTTCGTGCAAAAGTGTAGCACTCTCCTTCAGCTCCGCGCACGCATCACGCTTCGACTGCAGACTTGCCGACAGATCTCTCACTTCTTCTTCGAGACGACGGTTGGATGCATTTAGAAGGCTAACTGGCCATGACATGAGTCTACTTTAAAACAACAACGACAACAAAATAGAAAATAGGACACCTTCCTTTTCCTTTCCCTCACCACAATTGTGTATCTTATGTCTGTCTATCTATCTATCTGTATATATATATATGTCTGTGTGAATCTATGATATGTATACAGCGCTTTACGTCCAACGTTAGCAACGATTCATGGAAGACGAGGTTCTGTGCAACATACTACTATTAATCCCACTGATTGCATGCATATTACACTTTCACGGCAAATTCGAAATAATTTCAAGAGTTCAATGGGAAGCATTCTACGCTTTTATATCCCACTTTACAGATTATCATACTGACATTTCACCCTTGTTCTCAGTTGAGCCATAAAATTGCTGCTTCCGTCGTACAAACCTTTCTTTCCACGCCTCATATTCCTTCTTGTCGTTTGGGTAATCAGTATCATCGGGCAACTCTCCTAAGTCGTCAGCATCCATAACGGCATCGTTTTTTGTTTCCCACTCATCTCCAGTCGTGTGTTTGATATGTTTAGAAGATGCCACTGCTAGAGCTGGAGTATCATTAGAAGCGCCTGCTATATACGAAGGCAAAGTACCCTTTCTAGGGATGATGCTACGCTGCGAGGTGGACACATAGCTAAATCCGAGATCGCAGTCATCCACGCTGTCATTAGGAGATGTTCCTTTTTTTATTTGTGCCGATGGAGGAGTTTCTTTTATCGTCGCTACTCCTTTATTCAATGATTTCGAGACCAGAAGAAGTTCTTCGATCTCTTCTTCTTCGGGTATAGCATCTTGCATGAATCAGATCGTAATATATTGTCTAATGTCTCTCGAAGTCCTATACAAGCAATACTCAAAAAAAAAAAAGATAATAAATTCAAAAAAATGATTACCATGTCTGTAAATACATATATAAAACATGCATAAGCCTATAAAGTACGAAGAAAATAAGTCAACGTTAAATTACGCTTCATTAATCTCCATGTTTTTTCAAACCGTTTAGGTGATGCTGGGTTTCAATCAAGGAGTATGAAAAGTGTCTTGTTAATGCATTTTCCAACGACTTACTATTTACCACTTCTGAAGTGTTATAATGAAAAGGATTTATAAAGGAAGTCAATCAAATTTACACACTGCATGCAAGGAGTAGGTCCAGGGTTAAAGTTATGCGTGAAATGAAAACATATAAATTAATATATATATATATATATATAACGTAGTTCCTTGAGAAGCAAATTCATAACAGATTGACATATTGTTCCTATCTAAAGCAAAGACTCATTTTTTGAGCTTCCTGGACTTAAGAACCGCGACCACTACAGTAAAAAGCATACACATACATACATACACACGTAAATATATATATTCCCTCATATTTTGTGCAATGCGTTTACCATGGTATGAGTTTATCATGATGGTAGAACCCTCCTGTGGGGCCATCGGGCCCGAGCGTTGCCAAATAAACGCTCGTTTCCGCTCCCTGTTCCGGTGTGAGGGGGGCCTCCTCGGTATTGAAGCACATATCCGTGCGCACATAGCCCGGATAGCAACAGTTCACCTTTGCAGCCTTCGCGCTACCCTCTTCGCAATGCTTCGCGAGATACACGGCGAGATTGTGGGCGTACATGTTCAACGCCGCCTTGCTGCACTTATACGAGGTGAGATGGGGGTGTGCATATCGGTTGTGCGGCTTGTCGGTCGTCGCGTGAGAGGCAAGCGGTGTTGAGACGAAAACGATGCGCGGCTCCGGAGAGGAGCTTAAAAGTAAGGGAAGGAGGCTGTTCGTGAGTTCTACCGTTGCGAAATAGTTCACATCCATTTCTTTGCGGTGGCGCTGTATATCCATTGGAAACACGTTGTTATCAAAGTCCATGATGGCTGCATTGTTAACAAGGATATCCAGACGCTTATGTTCATTTTTCAAGACGCCCACGGCAGATTCGATGGTGGTCAAATTTTCAAAGTCTAGAATAACGAGGTGCGCATCTAGGTTGTCCTTTTTTAATTTTGCAACCGCATTCATACCACGTTCCTGATTTCGAGCACCCAGAATCACTTTATACCCCAACTCGCCCAATTTCTTCGCGGTGGCGAATCCGATGCCCTTGTTACCACCTGTAATGAGAGCAACCTTCCTGTTCATGATTTTCTTTTAGACTCTTAGTTTATGTTTGGTCGAAAGTCGTTCTTTACATTCATGCATACACCAAATATCAGCAACACAAGGGTAAGTAAAAACTATGTCCGAAATACTGTAGCAGGATAGTTACATGTTACGATGCATGTGTCCGAAGATTTTTTGTTGGTACTATTTTATCGGGGATTTATTTTAGCCTTAAGTATGATTATTTTATTAAGCCCAGGAAAGAAATTTCACAAATATGTGTATCGCTGCCAGATTTAATACACAAAGTATTGCTGATACAATATTATTCCTCAAGAATGACAATAACCCAGCCAGTTAAATTTAAACACAAATCAATATTCACATGAAAGTTTTTAATGCTCAAAGATCACTGCGATGGCTCAGCACTTCGTACATCGGGTTAGTGTTTTCGATGCCAACATTCATAATCCAGTTTTTAAAATCAGCGGCCTTACTATTCTCTATGATGTCCATTACAAACGTGAGAGATGAGCATTTGTTACGAATGGAAGGTGTAAGACAATAATTGATAAGTTTTTCGAAAATGTGATTTCCCGCATTGTAGTACACACCCGTGTAAGAGGTTTTCAAAATTAATTCTGGCCGCTTCTTCAGCTTTTGCGACAAGCTCTTTCCGTGCTGCATAAGAAATGATTCGACAGCCAATCCTAGAGTCGAGCATACTGAAGCGTAAGGCTCACTCGTAGTATCTTCCCCTCGTTTTCCAACGGTTTCTATGCACTTTTCCTTCGTTACGGCACCCCAAGCTTCCCAAAGACTTGTATTGGGTATTTCACGCTTCTCTACCCCTGTGACAGGCTTTTTATCACGATTTTCAAAGGCAATTTTAATGAAGTCATCTTTTTCTTGACACCCAACACATTTCAAGCCGCGGTCACTTAAAAATTCACGTAATTCTTTCATTTTCATGGCTTTGAAGTGTTCTTTGGTGAGAGTGGCACCACAGGTCATACAGACCATTGTTACTAAAAGGAAACAAAAAATTAGAGCCTTATTCATCGTTGATAATATGCAAGTTAATCTACAAGTGTTCAAGATAGGGCGAAAGATGTGTATAGTTTAAAAAGCAAATGACAGTAATACTACTAATAATAATAATGCACGTCCGCATACAGAAGCGCACGAGAGTTGCAAATTGTGAATCCAATTAATTAGATAATTTAGCACGTGTTAAATTATAATATTAAAATTTAAACGAATTTCCACACCGATTTAATCGTCTTTATGACGCTTAACTTGTATTCTATTGGTGTAGAATTGCCTTAGTCGACGTTATCAGTCGGGCGAGAGCGCTTTGCGCTGTTAGGATGTGTATCTTTTTGACGTCGATATATTTCATCGAAAACTTGTTTGGATATACCTTCGAATGAATCTTGGGCAAAATATGAAGGATTTGCTTCTAAAAGCCAATCTTCGGACACTGATGTCACCGTTCGAATATATGTATTGGATGTTAATACAAGTTCGTTAAAAACAACAAATTTAGGCCGCCGATTGAGAAAAGTTGAAGGAAAAAGCATGCACTTAACGTCATCCTTCAAGGTGATAAACTGATGTTTGGTCGGAAGAGAGAGAGCTATTTTTGTAAAGTATCCCTTTACAATTGCTCTACGAATTTCATTGGCAAACTCAAGGTTCATATTTTTGTCAGTTGCGTCGTTCGATACTTTTCTCCATTCTGAGGTGTAAGTGCTACAAATATTAAGGCCTATCCTTTTCATGATGCTAGAAAGCTGGTGATAAATATTTACTGCCTGCTTCATTACTCGAGGGTTTAGATAATTTTCCTTACACCATGTGGGGTTTTGTCGATTTCGCTCATAATAGCTATTAAAGACATTGAGAAGCGCCAAGTGATCACCAGTTTGATGATAGAACTGGTCTCTAGAACTCAGTGCATACCCTCGTTGGTTATTAGAGGGTGTAACAAATGGATTTTGCACTGACAGCATGGCAGATATGCGTGCAATATCATCGGAACATCCGTATTCCGGACTGTTATAGAGCATCGATGCCATTTCAGGATCTACTGGAAACTCTGAAATTTGGTTCCCAATCAAAGTTAAGTTTCCATCGTCATCTAATGCGCCAATATAATTGAGCAGTTCAAGTGCTCGCATTAGCGTTTCCGGCGCTGGTGGTTCTACAAAGTCGAAGTTAACTAGATCTTCAATTCCCATTTTTTTCATATTAAGTACAATGGAACCTAAATTGCAGCGCAAAATTTCTGGATAGGTATTTGGCAGCAGCGCAGTTTCAAAGGATTTAACAGTATAAAGCCGAAAGCATTTTCCAGGCTTTGTACGCCCCGCTCTTCCTGAGCGTTGTTGAGCACTTGCTTGGCTTATTGGAGTAACAAGGAGAGATTCAACGCGCAATTTGGGATTAAACACTTTTTGTTTGGAGAATCCACAATCAATCACGAATACTATACCATCAATGGTCAAGGAAGTTTCAGCAACATTTGTCGCAACAACGATTTTTCTCGTGCCCTTGGAATTAGGGAGAAAAACTTTCCGCTGTTGTGATGGTGGAAGTGCAGAATACAGGGGCAGAACGTTAACGGGTCCGCGGTGACAATTGGCACTACTGTGTTCTGCCATTTGTATACCGTTTTGAAGTCTTTCCACAGTAGTTTCAATTTCATCTTCGCCGGTTAAAAAAATCAGAATATCGCCCTCACCTTCGTAAAGGTGAATTTGTGTTGCAGTCCGAATAGCAGCCTCCACGTAATTAGCTTCTGGAGCACGAGAGTAGTACATCTTTACACCAAACATACGCCCTGATACGTGAACAAGCGGAGCTTCTGGAAAATATTGTTGAAAGCGTTTTTCCTCTAGAGTAGCAGACATAACAATGACACGAAGATCTGGTCGTTTGGGTAATAACTGTTTTATAACACCGATCAAAATATCTGTTGAAACTGTGCGTTCATGAGCTTCATCTAAAACAATTACGCTGTACTTACCCAGAAGGGGATCGATCATAGCTTCACGAAGTAACATACCATCTGTAAGATACTTCAAGCGAGTTTTCGCAGAACTCATGTCATCAAAGCGGATTGAGTAGCCGACCTCTTCACCCAGATTAACATCCATTTCATCAGCAACACGTTCCGATACACTAGTAGCCGCAACTCGGCGCGGTTGCGTGCAGGCGATACCGTATTCTGGATTCATTTCGAGCACAAACTGAGGAACCTGGGTTGTTTTCCCACTACCAGTTTCACCAACAAGAAGGATTGTTTGATACCGATGGATAAGTTTTTGAATACTCTGTTTGGCCTCATAAATGGGTAATTTTTTTCTTACTTGTAGTATGTCATAATATCTTTCACTATATTTTTTCCCAGTGAGAGGGTTTCTGTCGTCGCCATTCTTGAGGTGCATATTTTTTTTTCTGTATGAAGGCTAAATTGTGTTCTTTAAAAAATATATTTTGTGGATGAAAAGAGATTGTTATTCAAATTTAATTCCCATATATCTGAAGAATTCAAGTATACAAATAAATGGAATTTATTTAGGAAAGTAAGTATAGCAGAAGAGATGAAATAGGTAATAATAAAAAAAATTAAAAGCACATTTCCTGAAGTACTAAATTTTATTTAGCATTCCATGCAGCGTTGTGAACCAAGAGAATTATACTTTGGAGTTCAATAAGTCTGCCTTCATCCTTCCTGACCAATTCTCTTAGATTCCAGTAAACACGTATAAATTCCTCAATAGAAATGTCATCGACTTTAGTGGCATGGGCACTGTTGCTTGCGATCATTGGTTTTCCATTCACATTTAGGTAGGAGAAATTCATAACATAGCAGAGATTTCCTTTATGGTGAAAAAAACTTAAAAGGCTTTGACATCCTAACGGAAGCGAAATTAAATAGAATAAAATTACAGTATGTGCAAGCAAGGCAAAGACTACAATCATTACAAACACACACGCGCATCTTTCTAATCAGCAGGGAAAAGCCCACGTCATTTTATTTATATTAATATGACGCGCCCAAAAAACTTCGCGACCACTATGCCAAATAGTCGCCCCAACGCAGCGATCATCACGTCCTAATTTTAGCCATTTCCCCCCCTCTTTCACCTGGTCATCGGCGAGAATCGGGCACCGCCTGGGTGACAACCTGCTCCCCCCGCCCCCCGAGGGCCGGGGCCCTAGGCCCACGCTGCTCACAATGTGCTCCTTTTGCTTTGGCCGGGTAAGCGGCTCGAAATTTTTTTTTGGGATCGTGTCCTGTGTCCAAAATGAATAGTTTCAACCGGAATAAATGTTTGAAAAAGATTCATACACCCCAGAACTAAACAGAGAGAGAAGTT